AGTGGATAGGACACCACACTCTGACACCACTCAATATTCTTATCATCGGTCAAAAGCGGATCTACCAGCCGCATAGTGCAATTGGTGTATTTTGCCCTATCAGTCATTGACACATCAAGCGACTTTGACTGCTTGGCATATGTCCATATGTGAAGGCAATCAATTGGTGTTTGGGCTTGCTTCGAAGCGGTGCTGCCCAGTTACGTCTTCGTGCACTTGTTTGCATTTTGTGCTTATCTTTACTCGGCTTTTGGATCGGTTTTCCGTGGTATCTACTGAAGTTTCTATTGGTTTCTTGTATAAGGTAACCGTTTGAGGTTTGTCACTTTTAGGATTTGTTGTTGTTATTCAATAGCCCCACAGTTGCACCGGCATTGAGTTTTTGACTTATCCCGGGGATTGCGAATCCGTTCCGGTCTTGAATTTCGATAACCTGTGGCTCCTCGTATCGCTCAAGGTTTCTAAGCGTTTTATCGCTTACAATACTAACAAGCACATGAAGCGGTCTATACTTATTGGTCGCTAGCCGCTACCTGGTGGTGGCTTATTCAGCGGCCTAACCACGGTGGCGTAGACGGCATTCTTCTAATTTGTATTACACAGTCCCTGAGATCTGAAGGAGTTAGACAGGCCTGCATTTGCGGTTGCTCAGGCATGTGTCCTGGCTTGGACACCGCACACCCAAAGCTGAATCAGCCATGGCTGCTAGGTGGTTAGACCATTTTGTGCGATTGTTATTGCGACGATCATGTTAGACATTGTTCCCATTGAAGTTGGTACACCAACCGGAAGCTGAACAACGACAGTTCTATGTTTGCCTACTTCTATCACAGTTGATGACTAAACACAAACTAAGAGGATTCCAAGTGTGATGTTGACACAACGTTAGTGAGTGTTCGTTTGTCTGCACACCCATGTGTGACTTTGCTAATCAGTTATCGCTTCAGTGCCTCCATGTATGGCGTTATTTATTCATAGGAACCTATGTATTCATAGGAGAATTAGGCTTTACTTCCATAAGGTCGCCCATACGTGTTGAGACTATTTGACGAATGGCTCTCCGAATGGTACCATTAGAAGCACAGTCAATGCAGATGGAACCACCCTATAAGGTCCATGGACTGGAATTCTATCCTCCTGAAATCGGGCATTACGCAACAAAGAAGCATCTAAAGGGACTGCCATGACTACTGTATTTATACATGTCACATCGTCATGCTAGAAAAAAACGCGATGGCTGATAATTAGTGGTGACGCACGCATTTTACTCTGGTAATTCAGGTGAGTACTTGAAACAGACGAACACTGTTGTCTCACCCACGAGTGTTCCTACAATGTGTTTGCCATCATTTACAAAGGCAACCGCGCCCATTAACCTTGCTATGGACCACTATTTCAGCTAGTCGTAGAAGCAGTCATGTGTGCACGCCGTGACACACGTTGCTATCGACTTGGCAACTACTCGGAAACATTTTGTCATTGGAAAATAGGTATTTCCGAAGGCATGGTTAAAGAAGGAAAATTGCTCCAAACCTTATACTCAAAATGCGTATACAACGTTCGTTGGCAGATCGTGCCAGGGCCGTATGGTCACTTGGTAATTCAAGCTTATCAATCACTTGGAAGTGTAGTGTAAATATCACGTTGAAACACAGGATTGACATGTATCTTACGACCTTAACATAACGGCAAGTCCATGGGTCCTGAAGCCGTAATTGATTACCGAAGTGGTCCACATGTGTGAAACTAACACTCACTAGTCTCGTGTCACCGCCACACTGGGAGCTCTGCTAGTTGGAACAATGGATACAGATCCATTGACGGTCTTACCTACCCAGCGAATCTGATCTTGGTATACAAATAGCCGACTACATCAGCAGTACGCAGCTACACTATTCATATGAGTGTAAGGCCAACTGAAATAAAACAGCACAAGAACTTTGTGGCTGTAAAGGCTTCAAAAAGTTCAATTTGCGAACAAGTCTTAGAGTTAAATCCCTCATACAAATTACCTTATTTTTTCCGATTACCTCACACTGCTTTAACAATCACATGCATTTCCTAAACGAAACGGCATACGGATCGATTCTCCAGATTGCTCGCAGAGGCACGATTACATCATCATCATCATCATACACGTTAGTTAGTGCTGGGGAACACCTCAGCTACTGTGCCGCAATACGCAGAAAAAAAGAGAAAAAAGAATGCAACTGATGCAAGCCGGCTGAGCTACTTGTAACGGATGGGCATCGTTCTGGTAAGCCACCAGCCGGCTACTGTGCATCAAAAAAATTACTATACAAAATTATATAAGGCTAAATAATGAGATCGTGGTTAGAGGGGCGGCGTAAGATGAATGGGGTGGGACAAAGAAACTCACAACCCGAACGCCACTGTGGTCGGCTCCTAGCCATATCAGCAAGTGTGTCCAACAAAATGTGTTCATCGTCTTTCGGACCCCAACCAGGGAGCCGAGACCCTCCAACCGAGGCCAGCTCAGAAGTGAGGGCCTTCATTCCTCTCGACCAAGTCATCGCTTGGCCACCCCTCCTCTTCTTCCATCCACACCCCCGACGCGCAAACAACGCACGTCGCGGGAGTCGTTGGGCTGGCGTGCGTAACACGTGACCGAGCCATCAGAGCCTGGTACTTGAAATAACGGTGCTGATCGGTTCAGTTCCTTTTCCTGTGCCATAAACAAGGCGTCGAACACGCTCGTTGCTGACTCGGTGTTCCCACCAGATGTGAGCCAAATTGCGAAGGCACCGGTGGTCGAATGTAATTAGCCTCTTCAGGTACGCTGCTTTAAGCGACCAGCTTTCACAGCTGTACAGTAGGGTCGAATGTACTGCTGCATTGTACACTCTACCTTTCAGGGCAAGAGTGATGTCGCGCCGGCGAAATAAGTGGCGAAGGTTAGCAAAAGCTCCCCGAGCTTTTGCTATACAGTTAGTGATCTCATCATCAATCCCACGGGCGCTGATACAACTTCCCAAGTAGTTGAATTTTTGAACGACTTCTAGCTGATCCCCACCAAGGGTCAGCGTAGGAGGCGATCCAGACCAATCTTGGAGGAAACGCTTTGCACTTCGAGTGTGCGAAGCAAAGCCCGAAGTGACGGACAGCTAGTGCTAATCTGTCCAGTGCAGCTTGGCACATTGTGAGCTATAACAGATTAGGGCAATATCATCAGCATACTCTAAGTCAAGAAGTCGTTCTCCTGGGAGTAGCTCCACACCTTCTAAGTCGTGTCCTGTAAACGCGATTTCCATGACTTCGTCAACAACGAAGTTGAAGAGGAAAGGTGACAGCGGGCATCCTTGTCTCACGCCGCTGGAGGTATTAAAGGGCGACGACGACTTGCCGTAACCCCTAACTCTGCCCGAGCTACGCGCATATAATGCTCGGATAATATTCACATATTTCTCAGGTACATGTTTCCTGAGTAGACCGTCTCAAAGTTCACGTCTATCCACCGATTCGAATGCACCTTTGGTATCGAGGAACACGACAACGGTGGGCCGCCGATATATGTGACGATGCTTCAAAAACTGACGCAAGGGAAAGATGTAGTCAATGCAGCCACGACCTCGACGAAACCCGGCTTGCTCTTCACGAATCTGGCTTTCACGCGTGCCAGTCAGTCTGTGAAGGATGACAGAAGCAAGCAATTTGGAGGCGATGGAGATCAGACTGATTCCTCTATGGTTG